ATCTTGAATTTGAACAAATTTTGAGTCAAGATGCTCGTATAAAGTTCTTATTAACTTTACCTCAAGATGAAATTGATCAACCTGATACAAATTGGGATGTAAGTTCTATTAGTTCAGCTGATACTATTGGTACTATTAATGAAGAACCTGTCTTGGTAGATAGTCAACCACAACCACAAATGCTGCATCGACAATTACAATTAGAAGCGCATCTACAACAACAACAACTACAACAAGCGCAAGCACAAGCAGTACAACTGCATTTACAATTACAGGCCCAAGCCCAAGCTCAACAACAACAACAACAGCAAGCGTTAGCGCAAGCACAAGCAGCTGAAGTACAGTTACAATTACAAACCCAACAACAACAACAACAACAGCAACAACAACAACAACAACAACAACAAGAAAGTGAAAAGGATAATGATGATGAATTGTTATTTTGTTCTTTCACGGAATTTAACATATTTAAAATAAATTCAATATACGTTGGTGTATTTTCCAAAACCTATTAAATATTTAATTAAAATTATTTATATGTGATCATACGTTAATCATGTGAAAAAAAATAATATAATTAATATAATGAACTTTTAAAAAATAAAATAAATAAAATAACATACATGATCCATTACTGAATTCGCTTTATCCAACAATTCTGGATTTTCATCAAATACTTGATGACACTTTTGAATAACATTATCGAATTTATTCATAAATTCTTTAGTTTTAGTTGTCGAAGAATCTCGTTTAGTAGAGGAGGAAGAGGAATCTTGTCTAATGGTGGGAGAATCAAGTTTAATGGTAGGAGAATCTAATTTGATAGTGGGGGAATCTAATTTGATTGTGGGAGAATCTTGTTTGGTGATGGAAGAATAATTTTGTTGAGGTGATCGAGCTAATCGAGCTAATTTATTTTGATGAAGATGATAAAGGTTATGATGATAAGTAGATGATTGTGATTGGGATTGTGACGAAGAAGACGATGATGATTCTTGAATAGTATCTTGATGATGATCGATATTATTTTTTTGTTGATTATCACTAACCAATGGAATCTTTTTGAAAAGTGAACGCCGAATTTGTCTAAATCTATAACGCGATGAGTTTAAAGCGATGTATTGAGCCAATATTTTACTATTAAGGTATGGATAATGTTGTTTAATTAAATTAAATTCGACGTCTTTGTTGTATAATTTAGATAAGCGTTCTTTAAGTTTATCTAAAGCCATTGGATTAAGTATATCTTTATTAGTTTCTTCTGTTACGGATTCATTATCAGTATCTTCAAGTCCACGCCGTTGTGTTGGTATTGGATTAGTATAATAATATTGTTGAATTACTACTTTTTTTTGGTGTATGTTTAATTGTTATGTCAGACAGTGATTTTTGCATATAATGCTCAATTGCTGTTAAAGCATTTACATCGTAAATAGGTGTTTGATTTCTTCGAGGATGGAAGAGAAATTGGTTGGAAGTCCAGTTTATTTTATTTTTTAAACGAAGAGCTTTTGCTGTATTCATTTCGATAAAGACAAATGATTATCTAGAAATTATTGAAAATCCTATCCATCTACTTATATTATCTAATATCCTTGAAATTTTATTGGCTGCCTAGAGTACATGCTCTACATACCAGATTAAATAACTTATATACATAATAGCATGGAGGATATTCGACATTACACAAGTATTTATATAGCGTAGTATTGTAAAAGAAGAATTTTCGGGTCTAAGCAAACTTAAAAAAAAAGACAACACTTTACTAGTAAAATAGCGAGTGTCTTTTCAAGAAAATGGTGCATTACGCGAATAAAAGGTAGATCTATTGAGAGTTGAAGTACTATCTACTGTATAGTAAAAGGTAATAAAAATAATTTTATTGCTTAATTCAAGTTATTTATTATTATTATTTAAGTAGTCAACTTGTTTATTTTATTTGTAGATTTTTGCAAATGGTTTTGAAAGTTATATGTTCTTTAGATAATGTTTGTTTAATTATATAAAATTTTAAAAAAAATATTAGTAAAGGATGTATAACTTGTTACCAGAAACTTTTTAATTAAGTTTTTGCATTTGTAAGTTGTATTATAATTTGGATAAATATTTTACAAACATTTCAAATCATGCTTATTGTATTAACAAAGTTTGGTGCCAATTTACAAATTCAAATTATACACTAATCACTTACTAGTAATGTAATCTCTTTACAGATACAACTACAAGACCATACTCTATTTGTTTTTTTAACTCCAACTTTATTAATAACAAATATACAATATTTATTCCAACTAGTTACACTCAGGCCTACCGAATAATTGATTGTAGTGGAAAT